TCCGATCATTCTAAAATACAACGCAATGTTGTGTAAAATACAGGTAAAACACTTGTAAAAAAAAAAAAAATTTATACAGGTAGGTGTGCCTTATATTTACAGATATGTTTTTTTTTCAGTGCATGCTACAAAAGTTTTTCTGGTAAGTAGTGTGCTATATGTGGTAACATAAATTAACTGGTTTTTATGCGAGTTAAAAAAGTAATTTGATGTCAATTTGACAAAATCACCTGGACAAATTACATTTAACTTAAGTAATTTATGTTAGTTATCAAGTGGAAATCTAGAAAATCTTGAAATATCACAAACAATTTACTCTAGTACAGCTTCCGTTTACTGTAGTTGCCTCCCAATTTTTTTCTGTGCCCCTCTGGCCACCTTTATTTCCAGGACACCCTGATGACATTTTCAACATGCACAGTCAAGACAATTAACATTCACATGTGTATGTTCGTCTGCATTCTCTTAATAACTAAGTTCTGAAGTCACTTATCTCTTTGTCACTATCTGACAAAACTAGCTAAACTACTCAGACTCAGAAGTTACTGTTAGTGACGCAGCTAAAATCTCACTTATCCTTACATCTGAGAGAGATAAAAGCTAGTTTATCCATCTCAACCCACAGAGAGCATTCCAGTGGCTTCAGCAGCTGTAGTTCCAGCAGTTCAGTCTGCATCAGCACCTTCATATTCATTACTCATTACTTACAAGCATTCAGAGTGATCAAATACCGTGTTTATGGTAAAAAATATAAATATATATCGTTCCACTAATTACACTCAAAAATAACGGTTTTAAATAAAGGTCCCAAATTTTTTTTTTAAAGAATCTTTAAGTGAACCATAAGACGTAAATAAACACGCACACATCTGTGTGACGTAGTGTTTCCATGTGTAATTTTTTCCTGATAATGGGATTATTTCAAATTTACCCCCTTCCAATCCGATTGAAATTCAATTAGGATCGAGCTTAATCCCAGCTAACGAAAAATGTTCTAAGAACGGTTTACCAATGTTATCATTAAGTTATAAAATATTGTTTCTGAATGCTTTCAGAACATTCAAAACGTTTTTTTTTTTTAAATGTTTTAAAAGCTTTCTTGGTTATGCAAATGTTAAGGGAACATTTCGTTTTATAATTGTGCAAACATTATGGGAATATTGCTTTTGAATGACTCTACTCTGAACATTCTGAAACAAGTAGTAACATTTAAAAATGGTTAGATGAACACCCAACTAAAATATTTCAGGAAAAAACTTTTCATAAATGATCTATAAATAAAGTTCTGTCAGGACCACTATCGTCAAAATGATAGATACTTAGCATAAAGTTTGGTTTGGCGGTATGGTTCTGTTCTGGGCAAAAACCTCCCTGCCCATCCATGCAGCCTGTCATGAATGAGCAGGGAGAGCAGCAATAATAACCCCCCTATATAACAGAACAAGGCAGATATCATTAATGTACTTAATGATATTTAAGTGTAACACTTTATTCAAGATAAAGGAGTCTGATTAGCAAGGAATATCAGAAAGTCAAGTCCTGACTGTGGCGAAAGGAGGAGCTGGGGATGGAGGAGGGTAATTTGCTCCGGAGCAAGCTGAAAAGCTGCTGAATAATACTGAATAGAGCTTATATAGGAATGCCGCGATAGGTGTCGTATTCCTATAGGTAGATGTGATCAGCTGAGAATCAGCTGATGCAAGCTTGACTCACGTGACCTGCCAGAACTAACGCTAACGCTTAATAAATGAAAGCAAATGAATTGAACTCAAATGAATGCAAAGATAAAGGGTGAGGGAAAATGTACCAGCCCATCTGCAATAGGTTTCAGTGTTTTTACAGATATGTCATCTTCACTTTAGCCCAAATATGGGTCTCCATCGACCACAGCCCAGTTCACAGAGGTCCTGGTCAATGCAAGTGAGTGTTCAGCACAAAAAGACCAATCATTTCTGTTAGGGCTGCACAATTAATTGTTATTCTGCACTCTTAAGATATGTTTTTGTCTTTCTACATGTTATATTAAGGGTTTTTCCATTGTTTTAATTTTTGTTTTAGTATAACATTATAATACCATTTTTTACTTTTTTTTCTAATTTAAAGAAGAAACCAATCCGATGTATAGTTGACATTTGAGGCTTAATACTATAGAAAAGCACTAAAAGTTTTTCAGTTAGAGTGTTTTCAGCTTGTTTATTTTCATATAAAAATACGGCATGCAGTTGCATCAAACAATGGTATAAACATCATTCAATGTAAATTGTGATAATCGCAATTGCAATTTCAAGGGAATAATCGACAATTATGATTTTTGTCATAATCGTGCAGCCCTAATTTCTGTTTTTATGCACGTTTTGAGATTCGCACCGAACACTAGAGTGTGAAATATTTTGAATGAATTGTTATACAAACTCATTTTGAGAGCATTAGTGTGTTTCCTTGCTTAAACATTAGATGGCATACTAGTGTAACGAGGGAGGCGTGACGACAAAGTGGGGATCCAATTGCAAGGCTTTAATAAGAGCGTAGTCATCAGTTCACAGCTGTCTCACATTAGTAGGACTATAAGAATAGCACACACACTCTCTGTCATCGCTGGTGATTGTATGTTGTATAGCTCTTCCGTGGTTTCTAAGTTTCCGTGTTTCTCTGTTTCCTTGCCTTCGTGTTTTGATCCCTGGACTGTTTTCTTATTTATGATTGTTTTGCTGCCTGCCCTGACCATTGCCTGATTATCTGGTTTACTCTTTTGCCTTGCCACTGCCATCGTTGTTTGCTGTTGTTGACCACGCCTGTTTGACTGCGCTTTCAAAGCAGTCCCACAGTCCTCTTGTTAGTGTGTTAATGTCAAGCGTCTAATATGAAGGTCCGCACTGCTGCAGCAGTCTGAGACCGAATAAGCTGACTGGTATACTGTAAGAACGGTAGGGAAGAAGATGAGACAGGTGTTAGCACTGGAAATTTAGGCATTTTGTGAACATACTCCATCTGACCATTCAATCAGGAACTCAGTTTTGTATGATGCTGAGTAACTTCTTAAAACACATTAGCATTGGCGTTCATACTTATAATTCAGCTCCACCTCTTATCTCTGCCATATACTATCCAGTATCTATAGTGAAGAGCATCAGAATTTCCACAGCTTTCCACCGACTGCAGAAACACACAGGTATGTGTCATATGTCAGAGTTTGGTGTTTTAGATCGAAAAAGATAGGAATCATATTCTTTATTTTGCATTATGTGCATCCACAGTCACATTTGTGATGTTTGGATACAGATAACTGTTATATGAGAAAAGGCTGACTTCCACAACAACCTATGACTTATATTCTTCATCACTGCCCTCACCCTCACTGCTTCTATCCTCTTTGATCATCAACAACTTCTTTTATTACTATAACCTCATTTTCTGATGCTCTGCTCTCACTATCATCAATACCTTCTGAAATAGGTACAGCTTTGTCTCTCCGTCTTCCAAAAAACATACAAACATCCACCTAAAACATACGGAAGTTCTAAGCGGCCATGCATTATTATTTTTTTCCTTCTTGTTTTCTCGTTATAACGCCTTAATTTTCTCGTGATCTCGACATAACGAGTTGTTTTCTCGTTTTAACGACTTAATTTTCTCGTGATCTCGACATAACGGGAGTTGTTTTCTCGTTGTAACGACTTAATTTTCTCGTGATCTCGACATAAAGTTTTTTTTTGTTTTTTTTTTTACAATGATTGTTTGATCTACTGTTGTTATAGTAACAAACTCAACTTTGACACGCATCTGATGGACAAACAAACCATGCGCACCGGATGTTGTGAATGCGCTCAGGACAGTTGGACATTGCGGTGGATCAGAGGTAAAAAACGATATAAATACTGTTCAGTTTCTTGCACAGACCGATCGTTTCGTGTCTTAAGACTTCAATGTATCATCACGAGCCGCAGGGTTTAATTTGGTTTTGTCGGTGTATGTTTTTTTACTCTCAAAGCCGTGGAGCCCATTGACTTCCATTATATGACTGACAGACTGCAACGGTTTGAGTTAAAAATCTCAGTTTGTGTTCTACTGAAGAAACAAAGTCACCTACATCTTGGATGCCCTGGGGGTAAGCAGATAAACATCACATTTTCATTTTTGGGGGAACTATCCCTTTAAGAACAAAACATAACAATGAGCTGCATGTCAGTGTTCCTCAGAAACACTTTTTATGACTTATTTATAAATGTAAATATACATAGATATATGTAGATATATACAGATAATACGGAGGAAATGCAAACATGGATAACAAATAATAAAATTCCAGTTTGCTCAAGGGTCACACCTCAATCGTGGTTTTGAGGATGGAAGAGAGCGCTGATAATTCACTCCCCCCAACTACAATCCCTGACGGACCTGAGACTCGAACCCGCAACCTTCGGGTTACAAGCCTGACTCTTTAATCATTAGGCCACGACTAGCAATTCAGTATTTAAACTGTTATTAATAAAAGTCGTGGGGCAGCGTTGACAAGTTTCTTTTCTCCTGGATGTGTGAGCTGCGCGATTTCCGATATATATGTGTGTGTGTCAGTCAGTAAGCAGCGCATTAATATAGAACGGTAATTAAAGGCTCTAATGCACACACCAGCACACCAGTATAGGTGTGTGTATTGTAGGAGCTAGACGACGTATGATGACGTGTGACAGCATAGTAGTGGTGTCTCAATTCTTAGGGGAATGTTTTCACCCCTACCCCTTGACACTCTGTTTCAAGGGACAAGGGGAAGGGGAAGGGGAAGGGGTATAAAATAGAATTGGGATTGGGCCTAAGAATCAGTGTTGGGGTAATGCATTACAAGTAATACAAGTTATGTAATCAGATTACTTTTTTCATGTAACTAATAAAGTTACTAGCTTTTGAAAAACTGAACACCACAAAAGGGCACATAAGAAGCCAAACCAATTTTTTTTAGGTTTTCATCATGAACTTTTTTTCTTTCAGCTCCAATGGCAGTTTACAACCAGCAGCTCACCGTCATGCTGCCCACAGTAACTCAGACGTTCCAGTCTGCTGCACCTGCCCCGGGTGAGCAGAAAAACCCTAGTTCAATGACACTCTTCTTCAGTCTGCGTTCAAACACTAGAAGGTTTCAGCATACACATGATGCATCTGTACAGAATAGTACATTAGAGGTTTATGATCGTATTATATGTGTCTCTTCATGTAACTGCAGTGGTAGTTGTGCCACCACGTCTGACTGACGTCCCGGGGCAGATGAAATGTCCTCACTGTCAGCTACAGGTCATCACAGAGACAACATTCGTTAATGGCCAGATGGTGTGGGCCATCTCTGCAGGGCTTGCCTGTTTAATGTAAGGAACTGCATTCTCACAAATAGACTTTTGACTATCTGGTCCACTTTGCAAGAACTGCCCACTTAGAGAAGGGACCGGCTGACTGGCATATATTGAAACTTGTATGTGATATATTTAAATATATTTGTATTTACACATTTATAATGAAGCTGTGATTTAGTATATTTAAATGTAATATCAAATTACACACTACAGTTAAAATGAATATCAAATAATTTACATGTACTTTAGTATGTTCCCAGCTAACAAGGAATATTTTTAGAACTTTTGGTAACATTCTGGGAAAGTTATGAACTAAAATCTTCCAGCAATCTTAATAGAACATTCATTCAGAGTTATCTGGTCTTTAATATCGATCTCAAAACTATTTGTACAAAATTATAAAATTTAATGTTTCCTAAATGTTCAAATAATTAACTGGAAGAAAGTTTGAAAAACATTTTAAAAACTGGACTTTGAATGTTCAGAGAACAATCAGAAATAATATTTTCATTACTTAATAGTAACATTAGCAAAATGTTATTTTGTTAGCTGGGTTAACACATCAGAATAAGTGTACTTCTTGATAGGAGAAAACACACTCTTTTCTGTTTTCTGTCCAGGATCTGGCCGTTTTGTTTGATCCCTTTTTGTGAGGATTCCTGCAAGGACGTGGAGCATCGCTGCCCATACTGCAAAACCCTTGTCCATGTGCACGAACGCAAGTTCTGAAACAAAGAAAATCTGAAAGACCAAAAGAAAACTTTACCGCTAACACCTTCTGGACAGTACGGGGTTTTCTAATTCAAAGAAAAACAACACTAAGACATGCAAAAGGCTGATATATTTCCTTCTTTATGCAAATATATGTATATATGTACATATATACATATTTGCATAAATAAGGAAAGTGAAACCCATATGGTCTTGTCATGTCATGGTGTTGTTTTTCTTTGAATTGGGAAGTTATATATTGATATATATTTTGATATGATATATGATTTGTCCTTTTCTTGTTCCTTTTTTTATTGTAACATTTATAATGAACTCTGCAGGATGTACTTATCATGAATTGTAATGTAATCAAGCAGAATATACAGATTACTTCTTGTTGGCATTTTTACATAACACACGTTTATTTCAATGTTTGTTCTCAGTAAAAAAAACAATTAACAATCATGGCTTTGTATGTTCTACTGCATTCTCTTAATATCTAAGTTGTGAAGTCAAGGAAAATTAACAAAATTATTTGATTGTGACAGAACTAGCTAAACTACTCAGATATGAGGAAGTCACCATTACTGATGCAGCTTAGATCTCATGCAAATATTATGGAAATTAGTTTTTTTGCTGATAAAATGCATCCTTTGTCAATGAGACATATCGATTGGGTTTCCTGATAACATAAGTTCACTTCTGTGCACAAAGACAAATATGTCAGGCTTTTAATGGGAAAAAAAGGATTAGAAAACAAAAGGATTGTGAAAATACAGCAGCCAAATATTAGCTTCTTACTTGTTAATTACTGTACAGTATATACTATATCATATACTCTTTACTGTGTTTTAATAAATAGTATAAGAAACAGTACCAATGCATGATTCAATGATGAACTTTTCAAACTTCTTAACCAATTAACCTAGTTTTATACAGTGGATGGTAGTAATATAACAAAAACACTGTTTTATAAATGAATATGAATCACAATGATAAATGAAACCTATAAACATCAAGACTGAGTGTGCATATGTCGATCATCCCAGCTTTTTTCTGTTATTGCCATCACTGCACAAAACATTAAGGGAACGTTCCAATTTTACATTTAAAACATTATGTGAACGTTACTTTTAAATGTTTTCTAAACGTTCTGAAACAAGTAACGTTGTAGCTAAGCTATACACACGTCCTACTCAAACGTTTTAGAACTATATAATTAGCTAACGTCCCTTGGACTATGTGTATAAATTAAGTTTTGAGAACGTAAAGACCAGATAACGGTTTATTAACGTAACTTTGAGAGAACCTTGACAGAACATTAGTTCCCTGTTAATAGACTCAAAAGGGGCTCATTCAATAAGAGTTTAGAGCTGTTGAATTCAATAAAATAATGGTCAGTCCATCTTCAATCTTCATGGAACACTGAAATATATTTTTTCAATAAATAAAAATAGCTAAAATTGTCAAGAACGCATCGTGCTTACAGATAATCACATCCCGGCCTCGTTAAGACAAACACTGCTGAAGAACAATCTGAAGAGAGGAACAGCCTACAACACAAGGGTGCAGCCACTGAGATCTGCTAACCCCAAAAACTAAAATGAGGCACTAGGATGCTCTCTAGTGGCTAACAACTAAAACAGCAACAAATTAAACCTCCCTTCAAAACCTCAAATGAAGTCCATATAGCTTGCTGACAGACTTGCAATGCACTTGAAAAGATGATCGTGGAGAAATTAAATGGTAAAATGGTAAACCATTACATTTTAATTTTTAAATCTTTAGATTTATAACATTATCATTATTATCACAAATAAATGGTAATTCAGTGCAGTAGTAGAGCGCTTTGATATGGCAGTACTGTGTCAGAGCCTGAGGCTGGGAATCTACATCAGTCCATTTTCCACTGTGCTGGAGAATGACAACACTAAACCTTGACTTGACCTGACAGGAGACTTTCAGCTGGATTACTGAGATAACTTTTTTAAAAATGTAATTATTTAAAGGTGGGGTAAGTGATTTCTGATATATATATATAATTAAAATTTTGTATCGTATATATAATAATTAGTTCCCCATCTGATCAGAGGCCCTGTCCTCTGTGTCCTAATAACCCGTTAGTAGAAGGACAGCAGTGAGGATAATCTGTCTGTGAAGTTAAGTCAGTACAGGCTTTACCAGCTCAGCATCATTATTACCACTGGATTCATGAGGTGTTACACACTTTGAACGTGTTGTTGGCAGTGTTTTGTACTCCTTTCAGATAAATCTGTCTTTATTTGCTCATATAGAAGTTTAAAATGTTCTAATATTTTGCGAATGTTCCCATTCAAAAAATTTTCTTGGTTATGTAAGGGAACATTCCATTTGATCATTTTGCCAACATTATGGGAACGTTACTTTCAAATGTCCTCTGAACGTTCTGAATCAAGAAGTAACATTTAAAAGCATTAGATGAATATCAAACTAAATAGTTTCTTAAACAATGTATAATCTAGCCTACATTTTTGTGCTAACGCTTTGAGAATGAATGAATGATCTGTTACTGGAAGTGTGGTTTGTTGATAAGAACTTTGCCAGAATGATAGCCAAAGTTCTGAGAACGATCCCTGTTATCTGGTTATGCATTATACAAAATACATCAGAATGGTCTTATGGCCACCTAAAACATTTAGCTCTTATAAAGTTCTGCTACACTAGTGCAGTTTAGCAAGTCATCTGAATGCAGCTTAACCTAATCGTCAACAAGCATCTGGAGTCCTACATTACGGTGTGCTGACGCATATCTGTGTGTGTGTGTGTGTGTGTGTGTGTGTGTGTGTACTTGTTTATGCTACATTGTGGGGGATAGTAAAACCTAAAATTTTTATCTGAAAGCTGCAGACGTTTTCCTCTTTTGTTTTTTATCCGCCATCTCTATCTTTCTGTTGTCGCTTTTCTCGGCTAATGTCCATCCTGTGCACTGAGCGCTCTCTCATCCGCATCATGAGTAGATTGGCTACAAGTTTGTTTTGGTACTCGGCCTGGCTCAGTTTTCTAAAGCGTTTTTGAATAAATGCATACCCCACCTTTAATTTAATATTTAATCAAATGTATATATATATATATATATATATAATTTA